TCCCACACCTCTGCAGTGAAAACATATTTGGGACCACAGGAATCCTTTGCCTCCTTAAAATCTTCGTGCCCATCAACGTCCTTCTGATCTTCTCCTGCCCCGTGCAGGCAGCTATGACACTGGAGGGAGAGGAAAAGGCAGGACCCACAGCCTCACTGATGCTTTACAAAACAGTGACTGTGGCTGGAGCAGTCATGGGCTAAGCAGCCCCAAGATCTGAGCCAAAGACACCAAAAACCAGCCGCCCATTGCTCTTGATGGAGGCAGGAGGTCTTCCCGTGTGCAACGAACCACAGCGATTCTCAAACACCAGAGAAGCACAAAAAAAGGGAACAAAATGAAATAATAGCATGTTTTTGACCATGTCTCCTTTGTCAAAAATCCCACCTCTGCGGACAGATCAGGAAAAAGATGTGAAGACCAACAACCAGCTCGGGGCAGGGGAACTAAGCAGCAGCAAAGCATGAGGAGGGTCAAAGGAAGCTGTCCCAGGAATGGTTTGCTGTATCCACCAGCAGGATCTCCATGACGAGATCTGAGCCCGCTTCCCATCCCGCATGGGCCCTACACCCACGACTTCGGAGAACATCCTTTGCGAGTACTTTGAAAGAAATTAGCTGTTTTTCTCATTTTGGGGTCAGGTTTAAATATAGATACAGGGAAATGTTTCCAGTTCATCCAGCCCAGCGAGCTGAATGTGTGTTGGCCAGGCGACTCTAGCAGGTGCCGAGTTTGGCAAGACTTCTCGCGATTTTAACGACAACTAATTGAAATGCTGTGGCTTTCATTAGAAATCCTGATTAGCTGTCAAATCCCAGTGAACGCAAGGAATCCTCACCCTTCCTCTGTGCAGGAGAAGTGGGAAAGCAAAGGTCTGACAGGACATGGTCCAGCCCTGCACAGCATGTAAAAAAGACCCAAAACCAAACAAAAACAACTATGTAAGCAGGAGGAAAAGCATGTTAAAAAGTTCAATACTTCAGTCTTTCACACATCTCAGTGACAGTGGTTGTGTTAGCTTTCTAATTAAGGACATGTTTTAATACTTCCACTACTGAAATTCCACCAAGCAAGGAACACCATGAACAACCTTGCTGCTGGGGAGAAAATGAGGACATCATATTCCTTAGAAACACAAAACTGAGGAACAACATTAAAAATAACTTTAGCAGCTCCAAGAAAGCTGTTGACAAACAACTCTTAGGGTTATCATACAGAAGCCTACCCCAACCGAGACTCTAAAATCACTCTGAAAGGGTTCTCCAGAGATTTTCTTACAGGGTCACAGTACAGCACGTAACAAAGCTTCATTAAATTTGGAAGGCACCAAAGGTCACTTACATTTTCCCCTCTCAACAGCTGCCAACAGAACGTGTACACTAAGGGAAATGCATATATGCTAAAGGAAGACACACAGCAGGGGAAATAAAAAGTCTGGTGTTAATCCAGTTATTTAACAGCAAAAGCATGAGTAGCACCAACCGAACTGTTCGTAGTTCAGTTAAAAAAAAAAAGGGAAAGCCCCAGAGTGTTTAGACAGAGGGAATTGAGTGAAATGCATCCCCCAGCCAGGCTAAAACCAGGATTCGAGCAATCAGTAACTGCACCAGCAGCCCAACAGGAAAACAATCTCACGCAGAAACCAAACGGCCAAGAAACTGGACCATAATTTAGTAAAACAAATCAGACGGGGTAGGATTTCAGGGGACAGGAGGCATTAGGAGTATGTTGCAAGAGTTGACTGTTTCCCATGCTGAAGGTTTTCAGGCACTCTTAGGACATTCTTCATGCACACATCTTCTCCCGCAGCAGTCACGCTCCAGTTTTAAGACTGGCAAGTTGTCTCCAAGTGTGCGCAGAGGGATAGCCTGGGACTACATCATCATGTTTTAAATAAGAGAGAGTAAAGAAAGGTAGTTCTTCTAAAAGGCAGCGCAAGGACGTGTTTATTCCTCCTGGAGTGTTTCTCGGTGTGCAGGACACGCTGTCGATTCTGAAAACGCACCCTAGAACAAACGATCATTCAAACCGCCTTCTCGTAGCCCCCCAAAGTCACCCTACCCCTAGCGATGATGCTGGTCGGATTCCAGCCCTGGTAATCAGAACTGTATTGTGATGGACTCTGTCATTTGAACTGCAAATATTTAATCAAATTTAATAAAATTGGACTACATGATATGGTGGTTTAAGTTACAAACACAAAGCCAGAATTTTGCCTGGTGCCAAAAATCTGAAAAGCTCAGCCGTAATAAAGAACTTTATTTAGGATGGGCTCCAGCCTTCCCTGCCTTTTGTTTACAGCAGACTGTTCAGGAGCCTTTTTTCTCCAAGCAACTTAACATTCTTGGCAGTGGGGTTTCTGCAGGATATTGCCGTGCCAGAGACTGAAGTGCTGTTACATTGAAAGGAAAAATAAAAGAAAACAACAAAAAAAATATTCTTCCCTGAACCTTGCAAGTGAACTCCTAAGTACCACAGACCAGTCCCCAAAAGATTAATGCCGGTGCCCAGAAAGAACAAGCATCAGCGCCCTTGAAAAACAAAATCAGCTCAACATCTTCCTGTTTCAAAACCACAATGATTTTGGTTGCTTCCATTTTTAATAATGTGATTAGGTACATTAATCATCCTTAATTCACCCTGTCTGACAGGGCTTTTATTCAGAGTCTTGTTGAGAGCTCAGTCTGGGAAGCAGCAAAGGTATGAGATGGGCAGATGCTTCCCTTCTCCTGCAGAAATCCCCTTCCATAACGCTGGGAGCAAGAACTGATCCTCACACTCAATCTGACAAGTGAGGTGCCCTGAAGGGATGACCAAGGAGGGGTTTTGGAGCACGCCAAAACCTGTTTATGCTGTGGGGATGCTAACACACCAGACATGGATCACCTGCTTTCACAAGGTATAGGAAAGGGCTAAAAATCTTGTGGAATCACACTGTCCACAGGCCCTACGTGATAGGTACACTGCCAAGAGATGCTTCCCAGTGTGGAAACACTGCAGTTTCACAGAGGAGCCTGAAAGCCTTCAGCAGAGACGGGAAGAGCAGCAATGGCTGCTAACAGCCTGAGCTTGTGTTTTTCCTCCCAGGCAGACACGTATGTGAGCACATCCTTATTCTGCAGTGGCTTTAGAGCTGGAGGAAGTCTCCTTTGAGGGTAGTCATCCACTACCACTCACCTCCCCTGTGAAAGGCAAAATCCTGAAGCCCAGACAGCATCACTATGGCTGGCCTAGGCCCTGACGATGCAGCAACATCTACTGCACCCAGTGGGGTGTTTGGTCTTTCATTATCTAGATGCAGAGATCAGAGGATGCTCTACCCCTTCAGCAAATCCAGTTGTCTAAGCTCTGCTTCTGGAGTCCTCCAGAAAGGGTGCACTTAAAACTACCACCACCAAAGTTACAGGGTGTGCCTGGAAAAAACCCAACCTTATCCCAGAAAAGCCCTGCTAATTTTTGATTCAATTCTTGTGTAGCTAAAATATTTGGCACTTGCCCATCGCCCCACCAAGGTCCACAACAGGGAAGACAAGTCTACTGCACAGCAGATGGGAATCCATGCACAGATCTGTCCAGCAAACCAGGTGCTATGGTCCTCAATCAGAAGATGCCAAAAAGGTCTTTAAATCCACAGCACTGGAAGGTAGGAGGGACAAGGCGTTTGTGTGTAGGTATAATTTTTCTCATCAGATGGTGAAAGAATTAAAAAACAGTCCAAGTTTACAAAGGTAATAGAACTGTGTTAAAACATTTACTACACCTAAGAACTGCTCTACTTCTATTAGAAGTGCTGTGAGAACACCCACATTCCTCCCAGAAGGAAAAAATCCACAGCACTGGAAGGTAGGAGGGACAAGGCGTTTGTGTGTAGGTATAATTTTTCTCATCAGATGGTGAAAGAATTAAAAAACAGTCCAAGTTTACAAAGGTAATAGAACTGTGTTAAAACATTTACTACACCTAAGAACTGCTCTACTTCTATTAGAAGTGCTGTGAGAACGCCCACATTCCTCCCAGAAGGAGAGGGGCTGCCAGCTCTTGGGAACTGCCTTAGGGCAGCCAATTCGAGCAAAGACAGCAGCAAACCCACAGGGAGATCTGGTTAACACACCATCACCACTCCTTATCACAAGGATGTCACTTTCTGAATGCCTCCACATTTGAAGATCCACAAAGCATAGCTGAGAAATAGCTAGGCAGCACCTGGAGAAGCTACAAAGTTCAATCACACCTCTGCTATCCTCTTACCTACACTCTGTCTTTCGGAGAAGGGTTTTTTTCCCTAGTCTGAAGCGATTTCCAACACACAGCTCTGTCCGCACCATCCACGTGAGCAGCACTGCTCCCCGAGTCAGGACAAGCCCCTTGAAACTCAGCTATTCCCCCAAGGACGCAGCCGAGGATCACGAGCTGGCCAGGTTAGAAGCTGAGGCTGTGTTGGCTTCGGCACACGACACGGAGCTGAGGACCACAGCCAACCAAAGCAACCTGGTTTACATAACATATAGTTGAGAAATAACTGACCTGCTTAGCCACTGTGCAGGGGAAAGCCTAACTGAGAAATAACTGTCTAGGTGTGAAGCAAAACCCTTGCAGGAAGTCCCAGCGCTTTGACTGGCAGAAACATTTTTATTTATTTTAAGTATAAACTTGTATATAAAATGCAAATCCCAGAAGAAATGAACTTTTCTTGGTACTTTTCTCACTCAGCAAAACATACTTTGACTTCAGACACCCAGATCTCTGTAGTAGCTTTGACTTTGTGAAAACAGCTCACAAACTTTGACACACAACTCCGCTGTCTCCCGCCCGCCAGTCTGCACCCCCAAAGCGACTCCAGCCTCCCTCTAACACCAGGCACACAGTGACAGATGAAGGGGGAGCAGGATGGAGCGGGTGCTCGTTAAATACATCATCCCATGAAATACAGCTTTTTGGTAAGAGGACCAAGCGTCGCAGCAAAGACAGAAGGGAACACAGAAGATCGATGCGAGCGCTACCTGTTTTTCTGAGTGGGAAGTCGTCTTTGGAATCGTACATCCCCAGTACAGGGTGATTGTAGGTGCCGGATACGCCACTTTGGGGTGGGGAGCTCTGGTCCAGGGAGCTGTGCTGTGTCTTCCTGCACAGAAGGAAAGAGAAAGAGAAGGGAGAAGCTTTACACCAGTGACACACAAAGGGAAGGAGTGCAGTTTCACCTTGTCAGTGGGGACCTGAGCAAAGGAAAAGATCTTGGTACCAGCCTCCCCTTCTGGGCACTCATACAGAGAAGACTCAGGTCTAATACAGAGGGAGGTAACTAACCATACCCTTAATTTTCAGTATAAGAATCACCCCGTTGAGCATGGCTCAACTCACGAAGGTATTTAACCATGAGTATAATTTTAAGCGTGTATTTGGATTGGGTTTTGCCAAGTCATATTCTGGAAGCTAAGCATAGGCATTGTTAGTCCCCTCAACCGTAGCACGAACGGACGATTTCTCTTCACTGGCTAAAACCCAGACACGGTAGACAGTCTCAGGATAAAATAAAACCAAAGGACGAGCACATTAGATGTCACACGTTTCAGCTGGCTAACGGCAGCCATGCTACACAGGTGGTCTGCTGCCTTCTGCATCGCTGCCTCCCGACCCAAGCACTTAGCAGAGATAGGGCCAAAGCACTCAACACCTTTCCAGATTAACTTCTCCAAGCTGATAATTTATAGCTTTGTTTGAGCAGGCTGCTGGAAGAAAATTACAGTCTGTTTGCTAAGGATATTAAATAATGAATGAGTTTTCTAAGCCTCCTACCAGTTTGTTGGCTGCATCTTTCCTCCTTTAATGACTTGTGCCCAGCCTTGCTGCTTCTCAGGAGCTCCACCGACCCTGATCAGTAGAGACTTTGGGAAGTCTCCAGACTGCGCGTGTGAGCAGAGTAGCTACACCAACAGAATGACTGACTTAGCCATACAGGTGACAGCCATACGGCTATCAAACCATCTTACATTTTAAGTTTAAATAAACAGGATCTAAACCCTCTATTACTTCTTCAAAATACTAGAGGATATGGGATGACAGAAAGTGAGCTCTTTGTCAAAAGAAGTGACTATTTGAAATTTTACATTGCCTAATAACCAAAAATTCCTGGAGAACTTCGTTAAAAATATTCTCCTAGAAAAGGTTCTTTAGGGAACCAGAATGAGCCATTTCCAGCTGAAAATGACATCAATTCATCCACCTCCTGGAGCAGTATGTTTTCAAAGCTCAGATCAGAAGTAGGTTGTTTGGTGAGATACACAGCACCAATTCTGTTACACCCTCCAAAAAATAAGGGGCTAATGAAACATCAGGAGAACGCATAGATTTTCTACATGATTTTGTTAGAAAAAGCTCCTGATAAGTTTATTTGGACATCTACATCAAAATTTTCTACACCCACAGTTCTCACCAAGCAATATGATTCACTGTGGTTCCCTAATCTTCCCCCCTTTTATCCGCCAAACTCCTCTGTACATAGTTTTTCGGCCTCTCTGAGTTGTATTTTTCATCAGCATTCGCGCACATCGTGTGCTCTTTCACCTTCGCACCGATACATGCCCACATGCACGCACAGTTTAATCATCACCTGAAATCAAAACAGCACCAAACTGAAAAGTATTTGAATCCCTCCTGAAAACAGAAGTCGCTTTCTCTGCCCGGATCTGCTCACACTAGGGGAAGGCAGCACAGAGAGATGTTTCACAAACAGGAAGCCCGGACGCTGCAAGCCAAGAGCCCTCAAACCCACCGCGTCACACAATGGCATTTTTTGCTCTTGCCTATACAAGCAAGAGACTTTTTCTTTCTCTTTTTTTTTAGGCTGCACAATCACGTACATTGAAGCTATTTTCATCGCTTTGTTCGGGAATGCGCAGGCACTCAAAGGGCCTGTTTAGATGTGCTTCGGAGTTGCTGAATGACAGATATTTAACTCTGCAAACAGGAATACATTATATCGCTCGAGGACTGGGACCCAACACCCTACGCTGCTTCGAGCAACGGTCTGCGTGCCCGTTCAGGAATTTCAGAGCTCTTGAAAGGGATGAAATCGTATACTACGTGGAGTTTGCAGACATTCCTGAAAGCTCATACCTTCACATAACACATCCCCTGTTCTTTGAGCTCTGAGGTCCTGCAAAGCACGCGCGATGCTTCAAACACGTCCACGCAACGTAAACTCAATATATATTCAAACATACGTATCAGTGCTAGAATGCTTTGTGTATGGAGACTGCAGACACCTATGTACACTGGGGAACTTAGTGTGTAATTATCTTGCTTTGCCTCCTTACCATGCAAATGCTCGGTTGAACTCCCGCTCGTGATTGCTACCGCGCTGAGTGGCTACTTCCCAAGCGCATTTCTGACAACTCCTAAGGAAATAATAGCCCTGTTTGCTAAGCCCGAGGTGCTCTCGCTGGGTTCCTGCTAAGCTGCTCTGACTTATGGTAAGTGTCTTGAAGAGCAAAACCTCCTGGAAGCAGGGCTGTCCAGCGGGTTCAGGATCCACAGGAGGGACAGTCTGACAATGCAACTCAAGAGAACCCCTTGACTTCAATGTAATCTGAAAATTATAGTCCACGAAGCTATTTTAAGCAATTACATATAGACTGGAGCTGTACATGTTAAACATAGTTTCCAACGTGGCTTGAACACCACAGAGCTGAGGACCGAGCGAGACCTCTGCAAAAGCCTCCAAGAAACATTGCTGAGCATCACTGAGTTCCTGTCTTTCTTTTAGTAGATCCTTTGGACAATGACTCTACTCTGGGAAACCTCTAGAACTGGTGCCTTTCCATCTTGAGGGCTGATTTGCACGCGTGGGTGTGACAATGCCCTTTAACATCAGCAATTAATTAGAAAATATTCACCCACCATAAACACTCAGCGTTGCACCAGCAACCAATGGCGCTGAACGAAGTTCAGATACAAGACACTGAAGGCCTCTGGACATCTCAGTGGACAACCGAAGCCTGGCCCAAAAAGCCAGGGGGACGACAGCTATTTCACATGTCAGTAGAACGTATTTTATGCCCCAGCACTGACGCAGAACCGTTGTGGCATTCAATACCCCTAGGAGATCTGTTTTTTTCCAAGTAATGCTTTCAATTTTTTAAAAAAGGAATTCACAAACCTTAATAAGGCCGAAGGAAGTGCTTAAAAGCAGGCGTGTCATTTAAAAGACTATTTCAGCATCTGTTACCACTTAATTGGCTTGCCTGCTCGCAGTAGGAGCATCCAGTCTATCTTCTGCAAGCCTCGTTTGCGTGTGTTAAATCCAAACACCACCCAATTGAATCACATGAGAAGTATGTGCGTACATGAATGTCTCTACAACCGAGCTGGTAACCTATGAGATGCCATACAAATAAATATTAATATGTAATTCATTTAAAGGTTTTCTCTTTACCAACGCATTTTTAAAATAGACTGGAAACTAAAAATCTTCAGCTTCTGCCTTAACAACTGAAGGGTGCACTAAAAAAATCCTCCACCGCAAGATAAAGACACCACAGTCACGCAGCCCCGCTGCCATCTGCCCTCCTCAGAGGCTGAGCGGAACGAGCTCGCGCCTGCCTGCGCCGCAGAGACCCTTGGAAAGATTTGCGAGGCCTCTGAGGCTCGCTCTTCCCATCTTGTGTTAGAAACCAAAATACCGATCCTCTCCCCACCACGGAACAGATGGAGGGAAGAGGAAGGGATGCCAAATCTCTTCAATCCGTAAGGATGGTCCCTCATGCAACAGTTTGTACGTTGTGTCTACCTGTTGGCATCCCTGGAGCATCACGGGAAAGGGATGTTTTGATTAACCTATGTCACAAAGAAACTCAGCAATATATTGGTGCTCAGCAAGTTCTCAGCATTAGCTTAAAACAAAGCAGGAAACATAGGGAAACCTTAAACACGACTTGGCTAAATCCCTCCTGCATCACCCCCGGCCCTGTAACATACAGAGTACTGCGGACCGCTGCTCTGCGATTCATCTCTGAACGCCGGACTCGCAGTGAAAAAGCGGTTAATCGAAAACTGTGCAAAACAGAAGGAATTCAAACCACTCCCAAATTTATGTTTCTCTTTTCTAAATTCACCTGTGATGGCTATTCTATCTCAGGTTTCTCCACAGCCAAAGGATCAAAGGTTTCGAAGACAGCATTTATTGACTAGCCTCAATACCAACAGAATTTTGCATTTTAACCAACTGGAAAAAACAGAAGATAGTGGCTCAGAGAGTCTTCAACCCCTTCTAATAAAATGCCCTAATTTCTTGGTAAGTCTCGATTAAGAACAGGGCAAAATTAGTTATGTAGAAAAGACATTTACGTTGTCTTGACTGAAATTCAGTTTTTCCGATCTCTTCTACCATCCTTCTTCCCAGAGAGGGTGGGGAGGCACTGGCACAGGTTGCCCAGAGAAGCTGTGGATGCCCCATCCCTGGAAGTGTTCAAGGCCAGGCCGGATGAGGCTTTGAGCAACCTGGTCTAGTGGAAGGTGTCCCTGCCCATGGCAGGGGGGTTGGAACTGGATGATCTTTAAGGTCCCTTCCAACCCAAACCAGTCTGTGATTCTACCATCCTTGACAGTGAACCAGTGGGCCTTAAATATGATCTCTGCATAAACTACCAACCTTTCACTTCTTTAACCAGTGCCATAACCATACAACTTTCAAAGTCTTAGATTGGATTTCTGGAGATGTATTAAAACTGCTCAATCTCACCCCAGTGGAATAATGTTTGAATTTTGCTGCCAACTACACTTCAGCATTTCTGTACTGGCTCATAGCAGGGATAGCTTTCAAATTTAATTTCAGCTTAGTTTCTTGAATTTGGCAACACCATCTGGCCATGACCTCATCATCCCTGTACACGTTTATTTCTTAAGGCTTAAAACACTGACAGATATTTAACCTGAAGACAAATTTCACAGCAAAATTTGACTGACTTTTCTCATTCAAAATTTCTTTCATTTTATGGTCACTAAGGACAACATCCAAAACACTTTAAAAAAAAAAAAAAAGATATTCACAATGTTATAGTACTAAAAATTTTCAAATCATGTCAGATTTTCTGATTTTCTTTTATACAATGAAGAATTGCATCTCTGGAACTGAGACTTGTACCTTGTTAATAATGCCATCATTTACATTTGCTATCTGGTGCATTTGAACTGATCAAAGAAGTCACGTTCCATTCCCACGTCACTGTAACGTCAGCTGTCACCTTCTCACCCCACACGACATTTGGATTTTCTAGGAGACCAACAGTTGAAGATTTTCAGTTGAAAACCTAGATCTTGGGGCAACTGCGATGAAACGTGCAGACAGGACACACTTGATGGTTCCAGCAGTGTACAGAGAAGAGTCAAGTAAACCAAATTTCCAACTTTGAGAGACTAAGATGTGTGGTAAGCATTACATAACATAAAAAGGTAACTTCCTCATTTTACTAAAATTCAAGTTTTATGACACCTGGCAGGACAAAATCCTCGGTGAAAAGCTAGAGAACTTCCAAAGGTTGACCTTGGTGGTAGAACTTGCACGTTTGAATACTCGTGGATTAAAGATGACGGCAAAGACCTCTACTCACAAAAATACTGTGGCCATCTCAGAAGATATGAAAATTACCCACACTGAAACCCTCTGAAAAACGCTTCTTGGTAATGTCGTATGGCAAAGTCAAACCCTGGTTCTGTCACTGCTCTGGTTCAGCAAGGAAACACACCAGGCCTATTTCCTACATCTCCAGCAACTCTCAAAACCACGTGGCACCGGCTGAATCACAGAGGTAAGCCCAGCACCACTTACCCATACCAGAAGCGTGGATCACTGGATATACAGTGGTTGAGATTCCGGTGTGCCAATGCCTTCTTCTTATTTAAGACAAATTCTTGTAATTTCATCTTTACTTCTGTGCTTGCCACTGCACCTGAAATGCCAAAAATAAAAAAGGTTATTTAATCAATTCCCATACTTTAAAGAATTTAGATTTCTAAAAAGATTCAGAATTAAATCTTTGATTTCCAGTCCAAAAGAACTTTTCTTTCAGAGAGAAAAGAACAAAACATCTCCAGCAAGGAGCTCTCATTTTTTTTTTCCCCTTTCCTTTAGCTTTGCTTATAATCACAACTTATGTTTGGAAAAAAAGAGACTAAATCAGAGATTTATCATTTCACTATAAAAGATTTCTGAAGAGGATTTTTACACTTGCATAGAAGTACTCTTAGAATAAAGCACTAGGTATTCCAGCTTTCTTTTAATCAAAGGTATTTAAGAAAAAGGGTCCTGCGTACACTCAAGTTTTTAAATGTCACATCTGCAAGCAGAAGGGGAATGAGACAAATGTCTCATATGTAGATTTGGTCTTGAAAACTCTTGTAAATAGGGACCTCTTTGTTCAAAAGTATCTGTGTACAATAAGACCTACATAATATTCCAATTCATTTACAAGTGTGCAATCTATTTCTTCAAATAGAAAATCTAACATTTAAAGAAGAAAGTCAGTAATTTTGTAGCACAGAGTTAAAATGTCAACTGTGTAATTTCTAATCATTATTTCCTCCACAATAGAGACCAGTCTGTTTTACTGCCATGATGGATTAAAATTATCATTCGGTTGACAGAACAGATTCGCAGGCAGAGCTCCTGATGGAGCAATGCATAGAAAGTTTGGCAAGCAGAACACGTGGAAAATGATGGTTCATCTATACCACGGCATAAAGCAAGAATTCCAAAGGAAAATATCTGGGCTACAAGAAAATGAAAAGGCCAGGAAAACTGCCTGCTCCACTGGGATTAAAAACTTAAAATACGACCGGGTGAGCGTTTGTCTCCTGGATCCTACTCAACAATGACATTTGACAGACCAGGGAAACAATTTCTTGTACCTCCAGAAAAAAACTGCAACATTTCTATAGAGCATTGCCTGAAGATGTAATATTGTTCAACCACTGAAGCAGCATTGAAAAGCTTGAAAACTCACTTTCTTGGAGCCCTGTCCACGAAATGTAGGATTGGCACGTACCCCAGCGGGAAGTTCAACTGAGGAGCTTGAGACAAATTCATATGAGTGTAGCAAGCCACATGGCTAGACCAGAATAGGTGGCAAAGCCATGCTTAAAGGCCTTCTCTCTCAAAAAAGTGTCATCTTTAATCTATTAGCATCTTTAAAATAATCAAACATGGCTGTGTTCTGCCAGTTTTGGATAAATCTGACATTATTTAGAACACTTGAAGCTAAATATTTTTGGATCCTGAGGTTTACAAAAGCTCCCCTGGAATGTCTTCTTCCTTAATTAGAAGCTGAAAAGTCCCATATATGCCTAAAAACATAAAAATGTGTAGGCTTCCCCTTCCCTGGGCACGGTAGGAGCCACGGACCAAGATGTCATGCAAGACCTTCTGACCATGACCCAGCTCTTGACCCTTGAGTTGAAAGATCAAAAGAAAAAAACAAACTAACTCGCTTTTCATATACTATACTGGGTTGTTTTGAACCCAGTCACACTGTTACAGGCAGCAGCACTGTACAATACCCAGTAAAGACGTTACAGAGGACGTCAAAGGCAGAAAGGGACAACCTGTCACACAGGCGATGGTATGCATCAAGCAGGGCTACAAGCAAAGAGGACAAGAGCAGAAGTCAGACATCAAGAACTCATGCGTAGGGAGGAAGTCTCATACACTCAACCCCAATGGAAGCAAACGGCACGGCAGAGTAAAAGGAAGACGAGAGTGAAGGAACTGGAGAGCAAGAGCTCAGGCAGCAGCCCTGCCTGGGGGAGCAGCTGTGCACGGTGGGGCACAGCAAGCTGTGAATCTGGGCCATGCGTTTCGGGGATCCCCAGTGAGCAGGGAGCAAAGAGCAGATCGACTGATAAAGACCACAAACAGAAGAGAGGTGCAACGAGCAAAGTGCTGCAGACAGGATGGCTCTAAAGAGCCAAAAGACTGAGCCAGGTTATTCCTGCAGAGACAAAACCAAGTTACACATTGTCCCAGGATCGAATAGTATCTGAATACAGGATAAGGCAGAGGTAGTGGGAAGAGGATAAGGAATCACAGAATGGTTTGGGTTGGAATGGACCTTAAAGCCCATCCAGTTCCAACCCCCCTGACATGGGCAGGGACACCCTCCACTAGACCAGGTTGCTCCAAGCCTCATCCAGCCTGGCCTTGAACACTTCCAGGGATGGGGCATCCACAGCTTCCCTGGGCAACCTGTTCCAGTGCCTCACCACCCTCTCCAGGAAGAATTTCTTCCTGATATCTAATCTAAAACTCATTTTCCATTTAAAGCCACAGCCCCTTGTTCTATCAAAGGCAGAGGCAGGACCAGGCTCCTGCAGGAAGGAGGAGGTTGCAGAGGGCAAGAATAGAGGAGCAGAACAGAAGGAAATTAAGGGGAGAAAGCCCTTAACGACAGTGTGGGCTGATCACAGCCAGCCAACCTGTAGAAGAAAGTCTAAGGCTGCCCAACCAGCAAGGGACTGAATGGTCCATGCCCAGAAGCATCTGGAAGTATCGATGTGTCCTACTGGTTCTAGGTTCATTTCTAACAGTGGAAAGACAGGACAGCCAACTACTGTCCCTTATCTTATGCAAAACACACCTTTACCTTCATACACATTTTCTTTCCTTTAATGGAAGCCATGTTTTTGATCAAAAGCTTTCTGACAGCAGATATCAGTTCACAAGGGACAGGTTAAGGCTCCTGAGATGTGAATACCAGGAGTTAGTATTACATTAATCTAAACCAATTTGTGATTTGAAAGGTACAAACCAACATACTTTAGCTTACAGTGATGGACGAAGGAGGGAGAATAAACTATACGTATATGACACTTCATATTTCAGATCAGGACAGTTTTAGCTGTGTTGTGTATAGCAAAATTTTCTGCTGTGAGAAAAATAAGTATTCTGAGGAGTTGAGGTGCTATAATGATCATACACCATAGTACTACTTAAATAAAAAGGAATTTAAAAATAAAGCTGTAGCCATGGGAACAGGATCTTCAACTTAACGTCCCCAAATTCCGTTTTTAACTCTACACCTATGTGTTTCATAGGTTTGGTGTGAAGCACCAAAAGGTGGTTCGATGCTTCTGGCATTTTACAGAGATTCAAGCACTTTTATTATTTGCAGATTATTTTAATGAGAATAGCCAGACAGCAATTTTGCAGAGATGAGAATAACAGGGTAAGGTGGAAACGCTTACAGCTTTCACCCAGTTTGAACAGACTGATTTTACTTTGGAAAGTAACACAAAGCAGCTAGGAAGGAATGGAAAAGCATCGTCCCTGGCAGGCAGCCATGCACCAGAGTAGCCAACCTGCATTACCACCACCTTTCCTCCCTCCCGAACATAAAGCTGCTTTGTTCAAGTAGATTCTGATCCTTTGGTCTTTCTAATATTTAAAATGAGCAAAACCCAAACCAAAAGCACACTTACGTGTTGGATCTCCTATGAACTGCTTTGCAAAGATTTTGGGGTAGGTCCGTGCATTCCCCCATTCTGGCTGCAGCCTAAAGTCTGTCGTTGCAAGATGCACATGCAGGGAGCAGGCAATTCAACCTGCAGATAAATTTTCCATCTCCCAGACCCTAGTCCTTTCCAACCAGAAAAACTCTTCTTGGATCTTTATCCTGCCCCTAGTCCGCAGACAGCATCCCATCTCCCGCTGCCCTTCAGCCCTCTCCGCTTCTTCCACCCCAGGCTTCTTTATTTCATTTGAAAATGAAGACCTAACGAGTTGATAGTACAACTTGGCGAGGTATTTTTCCTCCCATTCACTTGTAAAAGAAAACCCGAACAAGCAACCAAAGTGTCTTTGATAAGGGAAATTGTGAGGCCATAATCATTTTACTGAATCTCGTGAAGTGCATAATGACACGTGGGAAAGCCAATCGCAATCTGTAACCTCATGAAAGAAGTACTTTCTGAATGAAAACACTTTAAAGCTAAGAACTGAGAGCTCGGCTACATCTTAAAAGAGCGAAATTAAGAAAAGGAGAAGAAAAAGAAATGCAGTGTGCATCTGGTGTATTTTATGGGCTTAATATTCTGCCTCCATTAGGAATGCTGCCAAAAATACTTCAAAAAATGTTAAATCAAGTAAAGAGACGATACGCTTCCTTTTGAAAAACGCTAAAATGGCATTTAGTAGGACAAAAATGAAGATAAAGCATAGAAATACATTTCTCTTTTACCCTCAATACCTCCTTAGCAGTTTACATAAGCTCCCCCCACCGCCGAGCCCTGCACAGAGGCGATCAGGAAGGTTTCTCCAGCTTTATAAAGCTGCTTTATGCCTTCCATTCATCTGCTCTACCTGTCACCTCCGAAACAAGTGAGCTTCTGCTACTTACTCTCTTTGCCTTTCTCTTTGTTTTTTAGCTGCTGAAGTTTCTGCTCTCGGTGCTGCTTCTCCAGCTCCTGCTCCTGCCGGTGCTGCTCCAACTTCCTCTGGTGCTCCAGCAGCTCCTGCTGATGTTTCATTGCCAGCATCTCCTGCTGCTGCTGCGGAGAAGGGACAAGGGGAAACAGAACAAATTAACACAGTCAGACTTCCCAGAGCTAAACCAGAAGCTGCTCTCAGGTGACAGTAACGTTGCCTAATTCACAGAAACAGGAAAAATAGCATTTTCCTCGTCTAGATGCTCACAGGCACTTCGTGTAGCCCCATTTCTAGTTCAGGACAGCACTTACGTTAAACCCTAGGTACCATATGCTCCGGGCTTCAGGGCATGGTCTATTTACAAGCACCCTGTTCAGAAAGCACCTAACTTGAGAGAGCGACAAAAAGCTCCTGCCCAAAAAGGTACTTCCCCAACCACTTAGCTGCTGCCAAAGGGTGCGGCTGGGTCCCCACTTCTGCCCCACCAGACGCCTGCTGCCACCGCTGCCCTGCTGACGCCTGGCGACTGGACACTGCGCTGAGCCAGCACAAACCCCTGCTCCAGGTGGGCCTCGTTTTTCTCTCCATCCTCTGTTTTACATCAAAACTCCCTGAGGACACCTTAATTACAAATATTCACATGTTCAGCACGCACAAACCCTACGCCGAAGGAGCGTCATGGAGCTCACCAAGTCAAGCACTCGCAGCAAAATACACCATCATCAACATGGGCTTTCCAAGACCAGTTCAGCTCCCTTGTGCACATGCTTTTTTGAAGAAGCCTTTAATTATATGACTCTGGTTTCTTCTCTCTCTCTGTACAGAAGAATTCCCATGGAGTGGAACAGCTCTATCTTTTTAACTTCATCAAACAGTGGTCACTTCCTGTCTGCCGCGCAAACCTCACACCCCAAGCTAAATGCAGAAGGACTAGCTGCCTTGTGGGCATGATCACCACCCATTTCTGAGCCTAATTAAAAAAGAATTGATTCATTATTTAAAAAAAAAAAAAAAAAAATCTCTAATAACCTCTCCAGGAACGATTTACCCCCAGCACTCTCAATGCACATTCACAGGAAGATGTGAGAGACAGGCTGCCTAATTAAGGTCAAGATTTGCAAAGCTTTCATTAAATGGGATGTTCAAGACTTGAAGCACCAAAGGCTCCTGGCCCCATCCACTGTTCCAGTCCCTCCTTGGGTCTCCAAATCCCTGCACCTGAAGATGTGGACGGGCACACCAACCTCCTGGAAATCTGGGCTGGATCTCCTCAGCCCAGAGCATCCTTTGTGGGTCCAGGTGGGATTCCCCCAGGGATTGGAGGCGGCGGTTTGATGCTGTACCTGTCAGTGCTCAGAGAACACCCTGTGCCGTTGACAGCCGGCCAGGAGCAAGCCGGGCCGCGGAAAAGCAGATGACAAATGACAAGTCCCAGCAGCCTGCAGCTTGGCTAGGTGTGAATGGATCTCCATGGGGCTTGCAAAAGGCGCTGCCCCTGGCGCAGGGTTTCTCCCTCGAGTTCCACCGAAAATTGCTTTTTTCTTAAAAAAAAAACCAAAAAAAACCCTCAAGCTAAGATTTACCACCTCCTGATTCCATTTGCAGCCTGAAGCCAACTACTTGGGCTGCTCCCGTTACCCTCACAGCCCCCCCGGCACGCAGGAGCACGCATTATGCCTGCCCCGCACTCTTTACGTTGGCAGCTTATAAACTAGCAGATTGATTTTAAGCTGGCAACCTTAACCTTCCAAACCCTTACCGCGCTGGCGATAGATGAGACTTCCCCGAGGCTGGGCTTAATGGGTGCCTGTGCTCGGATACCACCCACTGCTCCGCGTTCCTGAAATCCTGTACGTGGGAAGGGATCGAGCCAAGCCATGGCTATTAAGACAGGGGAACCTGCTCCCTCCGAGAGCATGTCTCGCTCCATCCTTCTCCGAAGCCTGACAGCGTGTACGCAAGACGCCCACCCCACGTACGCTCGTTTTGCCTTCTCCTTTTGCACACTTCTCTATTTATGCTTTTGACAGCAATTTCTTACTTTAACTTGTCGTTCCGTACATTTCTACTACCCAAGGTTTCAGCTGCGGATAAACTATATACGACACACATAAAATTATACAATCCTATATAAAGATGCAAAGCCAAAACAAAAGAATAATGTAAGAGGTACGTTACAATCTGCCTGGCTATCTGCTGGAAACTCCTGATGGAGGAGTCCCTGCTGCTGCCGGTTCCAAGCAGGCAGACTGTTGTAAACCACCGAAACCCCGTTAGCAGAATTTGCAGTGATTGCACCTATGTTTCCCTTCCTAATTCTATTGAATTTTATGTAAACAACAAAAAAAATCCAGATTCTAAAAACCTACAAAAGTAAAAACAAAACAAAAAAAAATAAAAGGAGAAAACTAGTTATTTTTGTTTTATAATTAAGCAGCAGCTTCCACTAACACATCTCCATTTGGAGAAAGAGTATCTTTTCAGACTCCCAACAAGTCCACCACATGGTGGGCTTTTATAACCTAGCCATAGAAAGTATGCAAATGAACAATATTTAATGCACAATATGTTAAAACAGGTTTTGTTATTTTTATGAAATCAGGAGCCTTTTCTCTCCATCTGCAGTCTCCTAGGCTTTGCACACTATGCTTCCTGCAATGGTTTACATACATTAGGATGCTTTAGAAGGAGCTGTGCTTTCATTGACATCTGTAGTGAAATGTAAATGAAAAGACCAATTTGTATCTGGATGGCTTATAGAAGTTTCATTAGAGATGTATTGTTTCCACTGATTTTGACCCCAGTTTCCACAAAGCCTATTCTTAATATAGTTTTCAAATCTTTTCCAAGTTGAAAAAATAAAAATAATTTAAAAAACATGAAGCAACCTCTCCCATCGTATCCGTGAAAAGTGAAAAGAAATCACTGTGTTGGTGTCTGCTGTAGCCTCACCAAATGACTAAAGAAAACCCCGTTGAGTCTGAACAGCCATGTCTTCTTAGGGCACGAGCACTCCTCCACGCTTAGGGCTGAGAACAACCCACGCAGACAGTATCTGACGGGAGATATCGGGTACAGGCCCAGAAAACGGCCGAGGGGCTGTCCACTCGCCATCCCGCCACACAGCCTGCGTCCAGGGTTCACGACCGCCCCAGGTACCTCAGATTTGGGATGCTGACCCAAGGTGAGGCTTCATTGCTCGTCCTCGCTGCTGCTGTTACTCACCTGGTTGTGCTCGAGCCACAGGGAATGTAACTACCATGTTAAAATATGGTTTTCAGAGCAAAAAAGCTTTAAAACTCACTTATTGATAGACTGTGCCTCAATTTTGTATTTTGGGGGTGTTGTGATTTGATTTCCTTACTTTAAAAGAAGTTTTGCTGTTGGTGCTTTGTGAAAAAAGACCCAGAAGCACCAAGAGAACCCACCACCAACTGACTAACAGGAGAAGCAGGAATCTGATAACATACAAAAAGCTGTCCCCTGTACAAAATCAACCGAAACATCAGAAAAATAGGAGCTTCTGTTTCAGTTAATCGAGGCAAATTTTAACATTCGGACCCACACACGGTCAACCGTGGCGAGATCTTAGCCTCCTCCCGCGCCACGCACTAAACTACTTCTACCAAGGGGATACCCACACGTTGCGGGCTTGGTCTGGCATTTAACCTTCCCTCGGCTATCTCAGTGGGAAAAATAAAAAGCCAGTAGATGTCTAAAGGAAAAAAAGGTTTCCGAGCTGCGTTTGAGCTCTCTCCCGCACTCGGGTCTTTTGGAAAGTGCCGGAGTTAGGGATTCATAAGCATCTCTTGAAGTGCAATTCACGGCGTACCAAGAGACACTTAGGTGGCTGTGATAAGGATTATTAATTACCGAGCGAGATCGTGCTCACGTAGCACGTTAGATCTCCCTTGCTGACAAACGAACCAATGCCGACTCCGCGACACCCGCGTGTTAATCGTGCGGAGCTGGAGCGGCACATCTGTCCCCAACCGTAACGAAATCCAGAGATGTAAGAAACACAAAGCGATAGGGCCAAGGGAAGACCCTTGCATTCAGACCAACTCAGCTATCAGTTGGAGGAGCACACCGTGTGACGAACGCGCGTGCTGTATTAGGGAGCGCAGTTAGGAACGTCTGAATTGGGTGCTTTTGCCAAAATAAATATTTGTAAATATTTCTAACTATGGGGATTCCTGCATATGTTTAATGTCAGTGCTTCCACTACTTAGGAAAACTGCACAAATGTTCAACTGTACCTGCATTTAGTGTTGCTAGTGCTCCTTTAGCATATATGAATATTAATAAATGCAATAAGGAGAATGTAGAGCATTTCCAGGTATTTATCAGCCAGCCATGGGGACTCAGCGGTGCAGGGGATTTTGCCATCACACTCCTCAACTGTCTTCAGTTCTCGAGCACGTCTACCTAGAACGGGGACTGACACCTTATCAGCAAGCACCCTGCCAACGTCCACTGCACAAAGAAACCTCTTTTTAAGCAAACTGGAGCTAAAATGGTTTCCTTCACTCGTTACAACAGAAGAGGAAAGACAGTGCTCTGAAATCTTCCAGCAGCCTCAGCCCAGGAGCCGGCCAGTGCCTTCCCGAGGAAGCGCGTGGTGCTGACAGCAAAAATCCCGTTTACCAGAGGGAACGAGGCCGTATTTCATGGAGACACATTGCGTTACAACTTGAGTAGTCACTCCTCAATTTGCTAAATGAGTAGCAAGAATGCAGGTCCTTCCTGCACCCCGGTACCCTGCAGACATGGCCTTATTCTTCTCCCAGAAGCCCGGCGCTGCTCTCTGCGCACACTTCTCTGCTTCCTCCTTACCATACAACCCTTGTTTTAAAGGTGCTTCTGTCATTTACTCCACACGCTGCAGTAAAGCTGATTAAAATCTGCAAAGCAGGAAAGGTTTAGAAGCTCAGACGGTGGCTCTTAGGTTTTTATAATATATATTTTGAATGGCTTACTGCAATTAGTGGAAGGCAGCATAAAACTATCTGTACTCAGACAGCTCACCCTTACTCATGCAGATAATCACACATTAAAGTCTGGGTGAACAACAGTTGGCGCAGTTATCGCTGATAAACGCTTCCAGGGCTCCAAGATAGCTCAGTGTTGTGTCCAACCCCTAAGCTGCATCTCGATCTATGCCTGAGACCATCTACTGAAGGTGCCCTGGCGTGGTGGGATGTCACCTGGAGCGCTGCTGCTGCTCTTGGAATTGCAGGCCATCACAGCACAAGGCAGCAAGGTTAAGATGACACGCAGATGAAAAGGTAGCCTGATCCTCCATCTACACGTAAGGATTCCTCCCCGCACAATCCCGTGGCTCCCACCTCAGACCAAGGCGATGCTGGCACGGTCCAGCCTGCCAGAAGATTGCAAGGTTTCTTCCAGGCAAGCTCAGAGACTTTGTACAATTACTTACAGTTGTAATGATGCGTACAGGTTAAGTATGAGCTTCAAAACCGACAACTTAATGCTAGACCAGACTAAAAAAAACCCCAAAGCAGATCTCAGCACCCCCTGAACATGTAGTCTTAAAGGCTGAGTTAAGGCATGACACAGTAAAAGCTTCTGGAAGCCTCACGTAATTGTCCTCTCACCGAGCAGGCAGTGAGGCTGGGGTTTCGGTGCCAAATTAAGGCAAACCATCTGACACCCTCTTTGGCAAAGTTCTACAGTTTTGGTGGGTTAAATCAGGTATTTACAAGGATCTGGAGCTCAGATTAGGTGAAAATACAGTAAAAATCGTAGGTGAAGATCAAGAAGAAAGTCGCCAGAACAAGAACGCATCAAATAACCCTCCGAAAAAATCATTAGCTCTGGGAGGAAGCAACACACGGACACTGATAGTTTTCTGGGAGAACTGTTGTATTGGGTTATTTTAGAGCAATCTCAGCACTGGCTATCCCTTTGGCCAGACTCTCTGCTTCATGTTCTCCCCATCCTGTTTACTGAAGTCTCAGGCCGTGACTCCAGTTTCAGGATTCGCTCTCTTGGCTCCATCGCGGCGTGTTTCAGATATCTCCAGGAGCAGCGGAGGCTAGTCAGAATCAATCAGTTATACCGGGAGACTTGGGGGGGGGCAGGAAGCTGTGGTTTTCAGCAGAAGCCAAGACACAGAAATCTGAAAGCGCAGCTCAGAAGAAGGAGCGTCTATCATCTCTTTTCTTGGACGCATCAGCAGCTGAAGGTATATTCAGCGTGCCCCCTTCCAGCTATCGGGCAGGCTGACAGCAGGCAGTCCCGTGCCAGAAGCTCCCGCAGCCAGCATCTCTTTGCTAACGCAGGGAAACGATCCTTCCCAGCTGACAGCTTCCTGGGCAGGAGACCGATCTTGGTGAGACATATCCTACTGAGAGTGTCTGGTGTTCAAGTTTATGAGGTTCAAATGCCTCCAGGAAAGGGAACGATGGTTATGTTCCCTGATCGCCAGCTCTAGGTGAAATGATCCCACGTTATTAGATTGGCAGCTTACACACGGATATACGATTTGGCATCCCAGCTTCCTTCCCACCCCATTATTGCTCACTTCTCCTAAAAAAGCTGACAGCTGGCCAGCAGCTTTGTTGCTCTAAGCCCTGACTACCTGCAAAGGTATAGTGCTGGGAACGCATCTGTACGCGCCTTTTGCTCCGACTGCAACTCCGGACTAGTTTTTACCCTTTCTCCAGACACAGAGTTTCTCAGACCCTTTCTAGAAAGCGGTGAGCTCCATGCGCAGCATCCAGCATATTCAGTTCCTTCTCCAATTTTCCCCGCTAGAGGTGAGAAAAACTGCATTGCATTTGCCTCGGCCGTGCTTTACAGGGTTATTACCAAAGGGGAGGACAAATCCATATACAACTTGCCCCAGGAGCCAGGAACACCCATCCGACCAGAGAGGGCAATAAGGAATAAAGAAAAGGAGGAGTG